CTGTGCTGTTCTTTTATGTGACTCCTATTCCTGATCATAGGAAACACTGACATTAGAAAATCTGGGTGTGTGGAAGAATGTCAGTTGACCTATGACAGGGTGTTGAAAAGAGAAGAAACAAAACAAAATATGTGAACAGCCTGAGAAACATATGGGCAAAGCTGCGAGATTTTTGGTGAGGGAATTAACAGTGTAATCTTACCCTTGCTATTCTAAGTAATAAGCTAGTATAATTCTGTAGTCACTAAGCAGTGGAATCTGATATGAAAACCTGATATATAATTTATGTTTATGCCTCTGAAAAAGAAAAAAAAATACAGTAATTTAATTGATAGGTTATTGAATGCACAAGGATCTTTCCTGTGATTATTTCACTCCAGCGTCAGACAAAAGATGACACCAGTACAAGAAGTGTGCCATAAAAAGCGGGATGCAAATTTATTTAACCATCAGCTAAGCCATAGTCATTGGCCAGTGCTGAAGTACAGGGCCATATCTATAACTCCTTTGTTCTAAGTTGGTAGCAGAAAAGGAACCCACAGATTTGGGGATTTCATTCCCTTTTCCCCAGAGCCTCACCCTCGTCACCTACTTTAACACTAAAGAGACTTCCAGTCTTAGGCATAAAAACATTCATCACTAGCCAACCTTCTGTATCCATCCCAACATGCCCTTTCCAACCAGGGACATAGCATTGCACCAACAACTGAACCCAGATGTAATCTGAGAGGAAAGGCCTTATGGAAGCAACAGGAGGGTGGACATATGACAGCAAGGCTTCCTGATAGGGAAAATTCTGTAACAATAGGGCCGCCAATTCCCAATGGATTAAGTTAACTGCTGAAATAATCTGGTTATATCAACAAGGGATTTTCTTATTACTAGTTCAAGATGAACTTAATACGCACACAGCAGTTCTCATGCAGGAACAAAGACTTGCTAGTGTCTCCTTACAGTGTTAAAATATTCCCAGGCTTTTGGACTGGGTAGCATTATTAATTATCTGGACCTTCTATAAGCAGTGCGACAACACTTTTGTCCTCTGGTCTGCCTGCCTTGAGTCATAACTGATCCTGCCAGAATTGCATCTTAACCAACCGGAGTGCTCTGCCTTGACCTCCTGAAGAAGAAAAAAATAGCTCACAGTTCCAAGGCACAGGAAAAAAAAAATATTCTGGACCAGAGCTACAAAGGACCCCAGAGTACCCAGAGCAGATGACTAAACTATTTAAGTTGTCAAATCTCTGTTCATCATCAGCTGTCTAGCAATGTATGACCAAATGCATGACTACACAGAACTATGAATAGAAACAAGGTGCCTTCCTTAGAAGGAAAAGCTTACTAACTGTTCTGGAATGATTTGCTAGTCTCCTTTCCATAAAATGTGCAATTCTACTTCAAAAGAACAAGAAACTCTTTCAAATTGGACCCGTGTTGTTGAAAGCTCTCATGTTGAAAGCATTCTCATAGCTGTCTGCATTGAACGTTTCAAAGCTGACCGGGCAACTCCTTAGGCTCGCTAGAGGTTAGGGGTGCAGTCTCTGATGTCCTGAAAATGAGCTTTTGGAAATCCTCAGGGCAGTTTGTTGACTTTGGGAGACCTAGATTCCAAGGACAGAAAGGCCAAAGTGTATCCCACTGAAGCTGCAGCAAACTATCGCTTTCATTAAGAGATCTCAGCTTCTGAGGTACAAAATGCTGTAAAGTCGGAGCTTGGCCCACCGCTTCACAAAATGACCCATAAGCTCAGACAGTTGTCTTATTTGTGACAAGGGAAGTCCTGTTTTTATCTTGCAGTTCCTCTTATAGATGTTGACTGATTGTCTTCCAAGAAAGGTTTGTAAAGAGGTATGTTTGTGGTGGAGAAAAAAAGTCACCCTCAGGTACTGGAGATTTGTTTTTATTCTCCCTTGATCCTTCCTGATTCTCATTCAGTGCCCTCAAATACAAAGTGAGATTATTTTATCAAGAACTGTTTTGGAGAGAAGACCAAAGAATATTAGATCCACGTTAAGCATTTGTGCTCCTTAGCCATAACATTTTTCCAAAGCACCCAGGAGTCTGGGATGGGCTCTGCCTTGGCAGTTAAGTTGGGAGAGCTCCAGTAATTCTCCTTTCCTTCATTCTGTTGACCTTTCCATCCTTTCTTCTTCAAGTAGCATCTATTGACTGTTTCCATTTAGTTTTTCACGTTCCTTGTATTTTCTTTCAGAGTCTTACATTGTGGGAATTTTACTTGTTGTTTTACCCACCAGATGAACAGGGCCCAACACAAAATATTTTTCTTCAGTTCTAACTAAAACGACTATTTGGCTTTCTTCCCAAAAACCAGAAAGACAA